TAGATGACTTGCTAATAGCTGGACCGACTGAAGAGAGCGTGAGGAAAAGCACGATTGCCTTGCTTAACTTTCTCGGAAAGAAGAGTTTGAAAGTCTCAAAATCCAAGCTGCAATTCACAGAGCCGGAAATAAAATGCCTCGGACATTGAATATCTCAAGGGAAAAAGAAATTAGATCCGGAGAGGGTAGCAGGCATCCTTGCATTGCCTGCACCAAGAACAAAAAAAGCAAATTAGACAAATTTTAGAGCTCTTAGGATATTGCAGGCAGTAGATTAAAAGTTTCAGTGAAAAAGTGAAGTTTTTGTATGAAAGATTAAACACTGACAGGCTGAAGTGGACTGAACAGGATGAGTCTAATTTCCAGAAATGGAAAACTGTTCTTATGACTGCCCCGGTACTAACTCTACCAGATACAAATAAAGAATTCCAGTTGTTTGTGGATGTGAGTAGACAAACAACACAGGGAGTCCTGACTCAAGAATGAGCAGGCAAAAAGAAGCCTATAGGGTTTCTTTCAAAAATCTTAGATCCTGTTAGTCGGAGTTAGCCTACATGTTTACAGGCAATTGTAGCAGTAGCTCTGTTGGTGAGAGAAGCCAAGAAAATAACTTTTGGAGCTCCCCCTCACCCCCCCACTGGGAAAGACCGTTCCTCATTCTCCTAACCACAGACACAGCTGCAAAAAGAGGCCGGACACATTCATCTCGAGAAAAAAAAAGAAAAAAAAAAAGAAAAAAAAAAAAGAAAAAAGTAAGATTATGACGCCTCCGAGTGGAAAGTCACCACCCCTCCAAGAGAGCTGAAAATTAAACTTCGGCGTCATCACAAATGACCAGTGACGACCAGATAAGTTGTATCAACCCTGAATGTGATTGTTTTCCGTTTATACATTTTAAGTGCACTTACTGTAAACGGATTTGAGTAACCCACTTGTTAGAGAGAGTACAAGCCTAAGGGATTGTGTACCAAATGTCTAGAAAAAGAACAGGATTTGACTAGCCGTCTCTTAGCACTTGCCACCCAGACAGGGTTTTTAGAACTAGACCCTCCTGAGTAGTACCTGCTTTTTCAAAAGAAGATAAGAAGTAAACTAGACTCCAAAGCAGAAGCTTTAAAAATCAAGTGCCGAAAGACAGTAAAAGTACCGTGCAGGACAGACACAATTAAGTTGTCTCGGTGGGCTACTTTCAAGAGAAGGTACGCCATTAGGACTACAAGGGCCCCTGAAGAATATCCTTGCTGCCGAGAAGATGGTAATCCCCGCCGTATATTTCTATACGGGTGAAGGGCAAGGCAGAGGGATACACTGGCGGAGAATCCTGACTGTCCTGAGTCTAGCCGTGTGCTTAGCCGAGGGAATGATTCCCAAGGTACCTCCGGGGGAGCGTCTCCTGGGGAAGTGTGAGCAGTGTCAGACTGCCACAGATGCCGGACGAATAACTGACTGTCCTCCGGAACGACAAAAAGGGTTTTGTTTGTCTAACGGCACTCAGTATAATCTTTGTGAATTAAAGGGGGAGGTCTGGTGTTACCACTCAGGGGCAGGTTTTAAAGACGGGCAGTCTAAAACTCCTATGAGAAAAAAAACCAAAGCTACCCACTTCAGGTATAAGAGAGAAGTGGGAATGCTTCCTCCTATTCCAATCTGTAGCCAATGCAACAAAACCGTCTAGATAAGAGGAAAAAGACAATCCACTTTTTTAGCATATTATAAAGTCAACCCTTTGTGTTACAATAAAGCAAACTTAAAAACGTGTACCATAAGAGAGAAATTGTATTGAGAAGGTAAAAATTTAAAACATGAAGAGAAAACCTCCTTTAGTAATGAACCGATAATTCTTAATTTGTTAAAAAGTGATGATGACCGAGTATGTTTACAATTCGATCAAGTGTTCTGCTTCTCCAGAGATGAGGAAGGGATA